CTAAGAATTGATTTTGAATAGTGATATGATGGGAAATGTGTGGTTGAAAAAGAAGATAAGATTATTGATGTGATAGAAAATATTATTTTATTGAAGAATGTGTGGTTGAAAATGAAAATTGATTTACTGTTGAAAATGAGAATTTTTACCAAACATACCCATAATTGTAAAATTTGCTTATAAGTAAAAAATATTTACTTAAAATTTTAAGTAAATATTTAAATTTATTTAATTTATTTAATTAAATATTAACCTATACATAAAAAATTACCTATAAGTAAAATATAACTTATGAGTAAAAAAAAATTATATTAAACAGGATAATTAGTACATAACGTTCATACATTTCAATATTATTATGCAAAATATCCATACATTCCATTTTTTTGACATTTTTACCCTTAAATACATATTTAATTGTGCAAACCATCATTCCGTCAATTACCTGTCAATTTCTCCTTTAGTCCACCTAAAATACATTTTGATTAATTTTAAGAGAGATTTTTATTATTTTATATTTTCTCAATAAAATAATCAAAAAAAATAAATGAAGAATGAATAAAACAAAAAGATAGAGAACTATTCATCTTTCTTCCCCAACATATCCCACCTCACACCCACTCTAAGCCACCCAAAATCCACAACAACCACACGTTATCCACAACTTCTATTTTTTCCCTCGCAGCTTCCGGAGGGATCTCTGGTCAATTGAATTTTTTCCCCTAAATTTGCTCAATTGAAAACCCTGAAAAAGAACAATCTTTTCCTCTTCCTTTCCAAACAGAGACATTTACATACATGCATATATCCTCCTTTACCTTAAAAGAGATGATGACAAATTTACTATTCACTTGAAACCGAGCGTTCACACCACTGTAGCAAACGTTCAGCACTGTTTTGTTTTTCCTACCTTAAAATATCTACCCTTGTTGCCACACTTTGTCAACAATGAGGGCAAGATATTTTCACAACTGTAGATATTTATTTTTAGAGTGAAAAAACAACCATTTATTATACATTTCTTTCTCTTCTTATTCTCTCTTCCCGTTTCTCTACGGCAAGAGTACGAAATAATTCCTTTCAAATATTTCAAAATTAAACCTTATAATCTTCAACGTATTTGCAGATTAACGTGGATATTCTTGCTTCTTGTTGTTTGATTTTGGTTTTTACATTTCATTTTCGTTTCTATTTTTGTTTTGTTTTCTATTGTTTATGAATCAGTTGAATATTTTCTCATTCATCTTAGTTTTGCATTCACATTTTGTTTGATGATAATTTGAAGATTAATTATGTATTTCATTCATCTTAGTTGTATTCATTTTTGCCATTTTCTTAGCTTTCTTATACTTCCCTAATCTGTCTTCCGTTATTTGGATGAAATTTTTTCCTTCAACAATTTATGATTTTGGAATATTTATGAATTGAAAAAAAAAAAAAAAAACTAGTTTCTTAATCTTAAGCTAGAAG